ATGGGGTTTCAGCTACCCTATCCAAAATTGCTTCTTCCAAAGCAGGAGTTCTCACATAATTTTGTCTTCCACTGTTACTAGAGTTTTTCTTAAATGTACCAGTTTCCCGAAGTCTATCGTCAATTCTAGAAAACGTCTTAGCGCATGGAAGATGCCTATTTGGAAAGCGCTCCTGATAAAGTCTGCGAGCTTCATTGGCATTTCCAGAAGCGAGTCCAAAACATAAGTGCATGTCCGTCATTTCGCCGAATGTGTAATCATTATTGTAGTTATTGTGAGCCATTTTAAACAAAATAATAACAATACAACGAATCGCACCAGAACACTTTTAGAAATAATGTTTAACTGAAGAAACATTTTTATCAGTGAGCGAAAAAAATTATCCATGAAACACAAAAACGCCAAAAAAATACATATTTTTACTTTTTTATTCTAAACAGCTAAATACAAACCTTATGGTCTTCATAATAAATATATGGGAACTAAATTTTTAAATTTTATTTAGAGAGCTAAAAATAGTATACAGGGTGATTGATTAGTGTGAGGAAGCTCTGTAGATCTGTTATAATAAAAGTAGGCAGCTTTAAGCTTCACATTTTAAAATTAGTTACGATGTGACAGGGTGTTTCATAAGGCCGTGCCAAATCAAAGTTATGTTTTTTAAATGGAACACCCTGTATATTTTTATATTTTTAGAATCTGCTCGATAATCTGATTTCAACGATATATCACACTTGTTATCTAATATGAATAGTAAAGGATCTACAGCTACTCAAAAATCACATTTTTTCAAATTCAGGTGGCTGTTGTAGCCAAACAGTTGGAAATCGAGGAAAACGGCTTACAGTCCCTATCCTAACTTTTTAAGGTCTATTCAGTGACATAAAATACATATTATTTGATACAGGGTGATCAAAAATCCAAAATCACATCCGATTTTTGATCATCCTGTATCAACTAATATTTTTTGCCACTGAATAGACCTTCAAAAGTAAGGATAGGGACATGTAAGCCGTGTTCCTCGATTTCCAACTTTTTGGCTACAACAGCCAAAATTGAAAATTAACCTAAACTGCACGAATATCTTTGGATGATGTTTTCTCGGAAACGGCTGCTCCAATCGAGATCAAACAAGTATTCCTTTTTGACGTAGTTTTCAATGTAGAATGTAAAAAAAAATATGGATAAGTCATTACCAAAAACACAAAAAAGTTATGAATAATCAAAATTTTCAAAAAATTCCCAAGTACACCCCTGACGAAATAATTTCTTTTTGAAGGTGTCAAAAGATCACTATTATTGATCATATTTAACAGCCAAAATTTGGTTCTTTTATTTGTTTCCATTTTTAAGAAAATTCAAAAAATCAAAATAAAAAAAATGATTTCGAGAGGCTGTTGCTCGCTTAGGGGGCACTTTAGGACATAGGTCTATAGGAACTTTTTTTCCATTTTTTGGTTAAGGAATCTGCCTGAGAATTTTGGGACACATTTTAAAGGACACCCTGTATAGCTACTGCGATATTTTATTAACATCCGTTGGTTTTGTATCAATATATATTTTTATCACTGAATGTATGCGGTTATTGACACGGATAAAATGTTTCTAATAATACTTGACCAGAAATACCTTGAAATATTATTTTACAAAATTATGATGTAATATTATTTTTCAATTTTTTTTATATTTGTAGATTTACAAACTGATAACGAAACTCGTATATGGCTGTCATCTTGGATCCTGTGTATCGTCGACTGTCTGCCTGACTTTTTGGCTTCCCCTTTGTATCATTTTGACAGCTGCAACGCATTGTTTACTTGCTCATCGATGTAATGCCAATTGAATTTGTACGAATGTCTATGATTTTATATGTTCGTCTGACCATATGTCTGCCTCCTCCTTCCATTTGTCTCTCTCTCTCTGACTTTGTTAATATCTAACTCACATAACGCTGAACTGTATGTATATATTTTAATAAAGCACTTAATGTTTATTCCTTTTTTAAAGTTAGTCTATTTATAGCAATAAATAATCGTCGAATAAATATTATTCGTTAAAAAAAACCAAAAAAGGTTGACAGCTGTGTGCACGTAGTTTAGATTCAAAACGAAAAACTTGTATTTCGTGCAAAACTTTTTTATTAATCAATGCAAAGCGCTTTCGGCTTATTTGCCATCATCAGTGCTCATCTACAAAAATTGTGGATGTAAACTTACAATTTAAAAAGATTTTAAAAAAATATATTATAAAATCTGAATTAGACTTTTAAGTCAAAAGTTAAAATAGTATATATACAATTGTTTGAACAAATTAAAAATTACAAGAAACAAACAAAGTGACAAAAAACTGGTATTGGGAATAGTGAGTGTGGAATAAGCCCTTACAAATCAAATCTGATCTCCAGAAGCAAGTTAGCTTGTGTGGAATTAAGGAATCATGCCACCCTCACCATTCACAAAATTGAAAAAAGGTTAACAAATTAGTTAAAATTTAAAGAAATTTACAATTACACAGTCACCCTCTAATTGTAAATTTCTTTAAATTTTAACTAATTTGTTAACCTTTTTTCAATTTTGTGAATGGTGAGGGTGGCATGATTCCTTAATTCCACACAAGCTAACTTACTTCTGGAGATCAGATTTGATTTGTAAGGGCTTATCCCACACTCACTATTCCCAATACCAGTTTTTTATCACTTTGTTTCTTGTAATTTTTAATTTGTTCAAACAATTGTATATATACTATTTTAACTTTTGACTTAAAAGTCTAATTCAGATTTTATAATATATTTTTTTTAAATCTTTTTAAATTGTAAGTTTACATCCACAATTTTTGTAGATGAGCGCTGATGATGGCAAATAAGCCTAAAGCGCTTTGCATTGATTAATAAAAAAGTTTTGCACGAAATACAAGTTTTTCCTTTTGAATGGAAATATTATTCGATTATTTTGCAAATCTGTATGTAAACGTTTTCGATACTGCCCTTTTGGTAGACACAAAACGTCAAACAAAACATTAAACGAAACGTCAAACGAAAACGTCAAATGAAACGTCGATTTTTCTCTTAAACGTTCATCTATGCCATGTTCTCTACATAATGTCGTTTTCCTCGTTTAAATCCGACCAATAGTAGCCGCGATAAACGCTTAGGTCCTTTTGACATTGCAACTGCGCAGGATTTTTCTCTTCAACGTTCATCTATACCACTTTCTCTACATAATGCCGTCTTTCCCGTTTGATACGGACCAATAGCAATGAAGATACACGCTTAGGTCCTTTTGGCCTGTCACTGCGCATGATTTTTCTCTCCAACGTTCATCTATATCACGATCTCTACATAATACAATTTTTTCCGTTTGAATCGGACCAGTAATATCCGAGAAACACGCTAAGGCCCTTCTGGCTTTCGTTCTGCTTACGATTTTTCTCTTCATCATTTATCTATATCACATCTATATCTACATAATATCGTTTTCCCCGTTTAAATCTGACCAACAACAACAACAACAACAAATATATAAGTTTTAGGCCCTTTTGGCCCGTCACTGCGCATGATTTTTCTCGTTCAACATTCATCTATACCACGTTCTCTACATAATTCCGTTTTTCCAGTTTGAATCGGACTAGTAATAATGGAAATTGAAGCTTAGGCCCTTCTGGCTTTCGTTCTGCGCATGATTTTTCTGTTCGACGTTAATCTATATCGCGTTCTCTACATAATTCCGTTTTTCCCGTTTGAATCGGACTAGTAATATCCGAGAAACACGCTAAGGCCCTTCTGGCTTTTCGTTCTGCGCATGATTTTTCTGTTCGACGTTAAAAGATATGTAATTCCCCCACTCCCACGTTTTACCCTCAGACCGTATGTCTCACTCTTACCCATTGAATCTGTACCTCTCACTCTTACAAATTGAATTCCCTATGTGAGCGCATTTCTGCTTTGTCTATCTAATCTCATTCTAGAAATACATACGTCTATCGAAGTCATGGCTATTTATATAAGGCCAGTTCTGTACCAGAAGCTTCGGGAAGTCCCTCTTTATGGCCAGCGCTAGACTTCATACCGCGGGCAAGGAGTAAACAAAGTACAGAGACGGCTTTGCGTCACAATATAAAAAAGGCAATACTCTCAATTTAAATCTTACAATACTAGCATATAATTTAAAAAATAGAATTTGTACATATGCAGAAAAACTATGATATAATAAATACATCCTACAACCGTGCCTTATTTAGTTATTAACCGATAGGAGGCGTAAAGGGAATTTAGGGATTTTTTGACCCATTGGTTCACTGAAAGAATGATAAATTTGGGAATTCCCTTCTTATTAAAATATTTTAACGACACACGTATTGATTTCAAAAAATATTTTAGTCATCAATATAAAGTGGACATTGTCCATTCATAATTTCTTAGAGATTGTTAATACAGTCTGTTCAGACGCGATTGTAATTGAAGATGGTTGTGTTAGTCAATTCAATTTCATCTCACCATTTTAAGGCTTGCCAAACATTATTAATTATTTTGAAGTAATTAAAGGTTATGTTACCAGTACAATAATAATGATTACTAGTAAAATTAGCTTCCAAATGAAGTGTCACTTTACAATATCTAACAGTTTTTTTATTCGGCTAGAGGTCCCTGAAATAACGCATTGAACGGTCAAATTGCTAAAGTCCTCATAAAATACATTTGATACTAGGTATTTCTCTATTTAAATTGTATTGGTTACAGTCACGGAGGAGAGGGGAATGCCGTATGAAGATATATTAAGGTGACCCTTTTGGAAAACCGACATGTTTTGTTTTCGTTGCCTCACCTTGTATGTAATTCCTTTACAACGCGAGTTATGAATTATACTTTTTCTAGGAAATATCGGAATCCGTTATCATTTTACACAAAAACTCCCTTGACGAAGAGGTTAATTAATTTGTTATAAAATATATAAACTGAATATGTTTTGGTAAACATGTTATATGCATTTGATTTGTATTTTTAGGTAAGAGGAGGGTTTATCGTCAAATCCTTGCAACTTGCCAGCAATTCTTTCGAGACGGAACCTTTAAGGGACGAAACAGCAGTAAAGCAGCAAATCAACTTCTCTCAGCTACACCAATCTCGATTTGGATTGTTGAGTCAAGCCTTTATGTTAATCGTTATATCTGGATTTTTGTTTTCGGAAACTTTATCTGAGTTTTGGAAAACAAAGGTAAGAACTTAGTTTTTTTTTTAATTGTAATAACATTCATTCAATAAGCTAGAAGTATACAACATAATATTGTAGCAAATATTATGAATATATTACTGAAAAACTCCCAAAAAATGTGCTCAATGAAAAGGACATATTCATCATCAATTTTACAAGATGGAAAAAGATGATTTTCAATATGACTTGATATAAATAATGTAAAAGAAAATAACAAAAATTATACTAATAAATTCCCCCCCCCCCCCCCAAAATAATAATAAGTAATAATACAATTAATACAAAGCCTCAATGGAAATATTTTTTGATACCTTTCTAATTTTAAACGATACTACAGACCCCTTTTTAAGTTTAGAAGAGTTATAAAACATTATGTGTAATTATTTGTAACAATAATAATGATTATTTTAATAATAATATTATAAAGAAAATATATTTTTAGTATGTTATTTAATTTTAGAATACTAAAATGTACATTCCGGATATTTGCTTCAAATCAATACATCGTGAGCCATTATGATTGAATACATATTTTAAATTACAATTGGATTACAATAGTTGTTTAATTTTGGAGTTGGAAAATCCGACTGTGGTTGAGAATTTATATCATTCTATTGAAATTGAAACCACTTACCGTCTGAAAATAATAATGACGGGGCAAAACTAATTGATGTAATTTTAATCATAACATTTATTTTTATAATTATAACGGTGATTTCTTAAAAAATATATTTACAGGGTGTCCAAATCCTATGACAAAGTTAGAATTCTCGGTTTTTAAAAGTTAGAAGAAAAAGTTGTAGCATGTTTGAACAAGTATATAGAACGTTGGAATGCGGTACCCAAAGTTGTACTCAGAATGTATTATACAATAAATATTAGCATTTATTTTCTTAATTGATTTACGTAGCTTTGTCGGTTTTTTGTTTTGGTTGTTTAGAAACATTGTTATAATATTAACAAAGTTCTAGATAAATAACCTGAAACTTGAAGCAGTAACTGCAAAGGTTTCTTTCAATTAACGAGTGAAGTAGATGCGTACATTTTAAGTAGGTAGTTACATTATGGGTATCAAGTTCACCCTAGCGTGTATGGTCCCTTTTATTAACATTTTTATAATAAGACTTTTGAAATGAAATTATTTATTTAAGGTACCGATAAATTCAAGAAATCTACACAATGTAATTTTTCGGATTGTTGAAATTGGAGTAGCTATATGGTTCCCAGCAGTGCTTTGGAATTGTATGCAACCTTCTGAATTATGGATTTTGAATCCTCGCAAACTCTTGGCCAAAGGGCTTGAACAGCAAAAAAGCGAACATGTTGTTGATCAAAATGTTAAGGTCGAAAGCGACAATGAAGCTTTTCTGGACAGAAGAGAATGCTGGATTTGTTATGACGCTGATAAGAAAGAACCTTTGATACAACCATGCGATTGTACGGGAGATGTATCCAGTGTTCATCACGAATGTCTAAGGAGGTATGTCAAATCAATTCACTAAAAATAAACTTCCACGATAACAAAATTTTATATAAATAAAAGTTCTTTGGTTAAATCGATAAATAAGGTTATATTTATTAAGCACTATGTAAATGTTTTGGAAATTTTTCCATCTTGCAGGAAATATTATAATTTAAAAATCGAAGGACAAAACAATTTAAAATTTTATATTTGAGTTTTAAGTTTTTTGGATATTCATTTTTATAAAAAATCTCATGTGCAAACTAGCATCTCAAAAAAATGGTAGATCAATAATTATTTTTAATTTTTTCTTTTAGATGGTTGATGGAAAGTTCATCTTCCAGCAATGAAGTTTTGAAATGTAAAGTATGTAATTACGAATATGACATTTGTAAGAGCACTGAAGTGAAATGGGACAGAGGTTTTACTGCTCAGAATTGCAGTAGTACAGCATTTGTTGTTACAGTGATGTGTCTGGCAGTTGCTGGAGCTTGGATTACTATTCAGTTATACCCTAATCCATACATAAGAATGGTTAGTGCAAGCTTTGCGCTCATGATAATCTACGTTTGTATCAGGTATGTTCTATTTTTGTTTACAAAATGCATTCTGAAAAAGATAGTCATTTTTCGTCAGCTGACCTTTAAAGGTAAATTTATGGGTTAGAACTTGCATATATATATATATATATATATATATATTTTTTTCATGAACCCCTGCAGCTTCTTTAATCGCACTTGGGAGTGTGAGACCCCAGCTTTAAGGTGCAGTTCCGGCCGACCTACTAAAACCCATCCTTTTCAACCTAAGCATCCTGGCATTATCTTCTAGAACATTCACCTGGGGTGCTGGGTGGTCTTTAGTTTTTATTTTCCTGTCGCGAGCTTTGTTGGTTACCTTTCTAGTCGTCTAATGTCGTGTTGTTTATTTGGCTCTTTCATCCTCCTCTTTCAATAATATGTTCTTTGCTATCATCCTTATCGCCTCCGAAGTGTCAGCATCCATGACTATTATTTTGCCCATAAACATATTTAAGAAACATCGAGAGACATAGCAAACAGTTTAAAATGTTTAAATACAAAAACACATTTTGTTTCACATGGTGTAAGTGTATTCAACATGTTTATTTCTAAAAAAACGTACGTTCCGGAAACTATCCTCTTTAACAATATTTAGTCTTATCACCCTTGTGTATAACCATATGGTTATTTTGGGGTTTAACAATGCCGTATGCACCTCGACAAAATATTCATTCTTTTGCCATTAGTTAAACATGACATCGCGCCATGAGTTAAGAGAGTGGTGTTGGTGTAAAAATATTTTCTGAAAAAAAAAAACAAATATTTAAATAAAGAATTTTCTTAACATTTTGAAATTCTTATACCAAGAAATTTCCTCTAAACCTTCTACAAGAATCGGCTGGCTAGAACATCCATACTTCTGAGTTAATCAAGTAACATAAACTGCAAAGAAAGATGCAATATTCATGAACCAGCACCAACACTTTTCTCAGTATATACATTTATTTTATGAACTTTGCAATTATTTTTTTTTCAACGTTACTTTTTTATTTACAGATTTTTAGGCCAAAATACCTTGAGCGCTTATCAGCGTGCCAAAGTCGCTGCACTGAGCATTGGAAATCACGTAACTACTATCAGCGGTAACGTCAATCAAAGTCCTGAGGAATCACAAAAACCTGAAGAAAGACAGTAACTGAAATTTCTCATCACATTCCACAGCGCCGTTTCAAAAGGCATTATTCCCAAAATAATTAAATAATGTTAATTAATGGAATAAATTTTGCAGTTGACTTGTTATCTTGAATAAAATTAGAGAAACTAATTCTACTCAAACAGAATTAAGAGAAATTGGTCTGGTTATTGAGCATTAATGGACGTTATTTAAAAAGTATTAAAAGTATAATTTTATACAGCTATCAGATATTACAGTGCCGAGAATTTAAAAGTATAATTTTATACAGCGCGGAGAATAAGTCTCCCCCCCCCCCCCCCCCCCATTAAACTGTGTTATTTAATTTAAATAAACACATTTTATGATTTTCGTTCACGTAACAGCTGCCGCTCGTTTTTTAAATAGCATTTCATTAGAAAATACTTGAAAATCGAAATTTAAAAATGTATCACACTTATAGTCTACATCTAAAACCGTCTTTGTGTTATAATAAGTTCTTTTTTATTAGGCTCACAGTGTCGGGACTTTTAAATATACCTTTTTTCTTAAATAGACTGACTTAAAGCTGACTAGGTAATTTTGTGTTGAACTTTATAATGTGACTTTCATGTTTGATCGGTGTTCTGTTTAATGTTCATAAAAATTAGTAAATTACATATAATACGTAATGAACAGTATACGTAAAAAACGTAATTTCAAACTGTATTTTAACATGCTATTAAATGTCGTTTTTTTCTGAAAATAGACAGGAAAGAAACATTACATATTGTCAAAATGTATTTGGTATAAGTAGGAAATACCTCTACAGAATTTCCAATAGGATTTAAAAAAATTGTATGTAATGAATAATTGCCCAACATATTTTTTTGATCTTTCTAAAAATCTAACAGAAAACATTGTTTAATTATATATTATTTTCGTTTTTATAGAGCAATACTTGAGTTTTATCAATTTGATATTAGTTTTATCCATATTCTTTATTCTTAAAAAAAGATGAAAACAAATTTACTATTTAAACACACAACTAACGCTAAATCGTAAATTAGAAAATTAAAATCAAATTTGACACATTCAGCAGTTGTTTATGACAGCAACGACGGAATATGAATCATGTCCAGATATAAGGAATATTTTTTGCCAGCATTGTTCACGTTTGCCAAAAAGTTGAATTAAATAGTTATTGTGTTAAATAAAAGCTTGTAAAATTAGTGAATATATAATTAAAGACGGGGCAGACGTGTGTATATAAAAGATACAAATTTTATAATGAATAATGTATAAATATCTGATACTTGGCAACCGAAGGTGCCATTGAGATGAGCATAATCTTTTGTCTTTAGGACTGCCACCTAATAGAACGTTATTAAGGGGTGACAGGTGTTTGACGCATGTGATGCAATGAAAGTATGAAGAAGATATATGTAGTGTGTCCAAGTCACTACAGTTATCATGTCATGTCTAATTTTTGACGAGACTTTAATTTTTACTTCATTATGGATAGATTTAATAACTTCGAAAATACATTTTTGAATTCTGCTTTTCAAGCCCTTTCAAATAAAGCGCGTAATAACACCAACTGTTATTCAGAAAAATTGAGTGTAACTGTCACGTGAATCGATAGTGAGAGGCACAATTTTCAGAGGGGGTGTGGGGTAAGACTTTACGCTGTATAAATAAATCGGAAACATATTTTTCTCACTTAATGTTGATTTAAAAAATTCGAATTTGTAAGTCTTCGTGTTGGTTTTCACGATTTGGTTTCCAAATGTTACGTTACTTTTCAGTATGTCAATCTGAACTATCACAATAAACAATATTTGCCATTATCCTATTAGTCTCTCAGCTGACTGCAAAAGTTAAAACAGTACTATGTCCCGGCGATAGGAGCGGGCATGTGACTCATCGATGGATTTTCTTTTCTTGTCGGCAATGAGATACCTTTGCAGACATATACTGTCGGCCGTTTTTGTTACTTTTCTTGTAGGGATTCCGGTCACGTGACTGAATATTAACTTTTTTTTTTTTTAAGCGAAATTCAGGATATAGCTTAAGCGGGAGTTTTCTGAATCTAAGATGGTATTGCGAGCATTTTTGTGTCTGCGGACAAGTTAATATACAAAAAAAAATGTAACCTGCTTTGTTTTTGTTAAATAGGTGTAAAATCAGAACCAAAAGTAAAAAAAGGTTTAATTCGCTCAAATTGTTTTTAATGGATCTCAATTTTTTATTCAGTAATTCTATCCAATTTAGCCCGTATATTCCGTCTGGCGTTTCGAGAAAAAATGTCAAAATGGTCACTGAAATTTACTTATTTCGCAACAAAACAAAATATTTTTAAATGACAATTTTTGGTTCCTTTATTAATCCGTTGAATCGACATCTATAATAAAATAATTTGTTTGGCGTAATATATTATATATTTATTATATTATGCGAGTCAAAATGTATAAATATTTTATTAAAATTTCGAACTTTTTGACATAATATTCAGATATACAGGATGATGAGTGCGAATAATAACAATAATAATGCTTTTTCCCTTCTTTAAAAAAAAATCCAATGTAAGATAACAAACTTGTTACATTACCTTGTTGGCAATTGGGCAATCCAAATCAGGTGACTTTAAATGACGGACACTTTGCAAAAAACAACAAAAGCACGTGCTTTCCTCGACAAAAACATTTCTAGTCAGGTTTTTAGTCTAAGTTTTTATTATTTTTTCGATGTATTTAGTTGAAAAATTGTATAATTTAATATTTATTAAGAATATAATGTATAATAATTGTATGATTTAATATAACAGTCAAATACTGATGAAAAAGTCAGGTTAACAAACTTTGTTGTTTTTGCCAAGCATTGGCCATTTTTGTCCATTCTGATAGGATTGCCTAATTGGATAAAATAAAAAAAAATAGAGATTGCTATTAAAAAAAATATGACCTAACTACATTTACACGCATCACCCTGTATATCTGAAAATTATGTCAAAAGGTCACGAAAACTGTGAAAATGACAAATTTATGAAAAAGATTCTTATTAGGAAGACAGAAGGGGGAGGGATAAGAGTTCAAAAAATTTTAATTTTTTTATTTTGTTTGCGTAAATTAAGTAAATAGCGGCGACCATTATGACATTTTTTCTCGAAAACCCTGGGCGAATGAGAGACTGAATGGGGTAAAACTACTGAATAAAAAAACTAGTAGTTAAGAGTCATTAAAAAATTGAGAGCAATTTAAATCGATTCGACTTTGTTATGATTTTGCACCTATTTCAAAAAACAGGTCATTTTTTTGCCAGTTTACAATATTTTCTGCATATCGGCCCTTTCCTTTCATCGACACAATAGAAGGCCGCAATATCATCTTGGATTCATAAAACCCACGTTTAAGATATATCCCGAGTTTTGTTGAAAAAAGTAAATAACCGGCAACACCGTCGGAATCTACACCGAAAATAGCAAAACGGGACGATAGAAAATGACCATAATGACATTTTTTTTATTGAAATTGCCGGCAAAAAAAACAGAAAATCTATCTATGAGCAATTTTTTCTGGATTTCACAGATTACATGAGCGCTCCCACCTCCGGGACATAGTATGTACATGTTATTCTCTCCTCTCCTGTTTCACTTTTTGCAGTCAGCTGAGAGACTATGGGTATTTCTAAGATTTCTAAATCAAATGATTTCTTATCCTCTTACATAGAGGGTGAAAAAAGACAAATCTGCAAAAGCTGGTTAAGTTATATTATAAGACGGAAATCATTCTATTATATTCTGTTATACTTCATTCCCCTTCACTCCGTAATTTTAACCATTCAATTTAAATTGGGAAATTACCAAGTATGACACATCATTGAAAATATAATTTTACGAAGAATTAAAAAACTGTTAGGTTTTATAAAGTGTGACACTTCATTGGAATGCTAAAATTTATGATTTAATGAGCAACATACTTAAATTAAACATGAATTTAAGCTTGTTATCATTAAAGTTAAGATTAAATTTAAGCGCAAGCAACCAAAATAACAAATGTAGCGTCACACTTTAGAATGCGTAACAGTTTTTTATACCGCTAGTGGGCACTAAAATCGAAAGTAATGCAATGAATAGTCATGTTACTAAATTCCTAATAAAATTACCTTATTAATGATATATCTACGTGGTACTATCTCTATTTAAATTGTATTAGTTGGAGTGTCTGAAAGAGGTAGTGACGTATGACAGTTGAGGATATGATAGAAAGGTGCCCCCTTACTTAAAAAAAAACTTTCTCTTACAAGATATTAAATCTGTTTCGTTTTCGGTGCATCACCCAGTACAACGTAATACTAGAGCAAATTCTCTTAAACAAATAGATAAATTAGAACATAACAGTTCGTTTATTCAAAATGGAGTGATCAAGAAATAAATGTTTCTATAGTAGGCCATGAATAACACCATGCATGTCAGAACTTACAATTCTTGTTTTTTTAAATGAGTTTGGGTTTCATTCAGAGGCGTATGTACAGACGCCTGACTCGTATCTCTGTCAGTCATGGCCTAATTTAGAAACTTTTTTTAGATTACTTTATAATTACCAGTGCAGTCCCAACAGTTTCTCGATAAATAGATGTTATTTGGATAAGCGAAAGTTTATAGGGGTCATTCAGGTACTATCCAAATTTGATAAAAACAAAAGTATTTACATTCTCGTAATTAGAGAAATTATTCATCACACATGTTTATTATCTCTGCCTATGTTTTTAAAATTCATCTGTTTTCACTTTAACAATAATTGACAACAAAACTTATAATAAAAAAGACACTTCCTTTTTAAGATGGCTGGAATTTTGCTTGTTTTAAAAATGGCTGGAAATTTGCTTAATTTAAAAATATCCATACAGTTTTTTGTTTTGTAAAATATTTTTCAGTTTTATAAAATAATTAAAATCAATTTCAATAAATATTGAGATGAAAACTAAGAAATAAACTTTGTGATGGCCCTTGGATACTTTCCCAGAAATTATAATTTGTGGTGCTAAAATACAGTTTAATTTTTTCTGTACCCACCTGTATCTTATACAGAAAAAAAATTGAAAAAGTTTGTGATATTGTATGTATTAATAATTAGAATGTACATTTTTTTTTAAATATTTAGTTTATATTTGAATATATAGTAATTATTATATTATTGCACTAACACTGCACTTACCTTTGTTTTCATTGGAGGCTTAGAGGCAGTTTTTTTATAAAATGATAAAAGTAGGAGTCCTACCATTTTTAATTTTTATATTTTTAAATTCCCAACTGTTCATCAAAACTTTTTTGTCTGATTTTTCAGCTTTGTTTAGGAACTACATTTTAGACATTCTGATAGAAGCCCCCTCATATTTCTTTTTTTCCACAATAAATTTACGACAAATTAACTATATAAAAAAATTCGCTTTAACTCATTTTGGTAATTGGTAACTTCATGGACGTTAAAAAATGCTAATATATGTTAAAATTAGTTTGAAATAACTCCTTTGAACTATTATTAATATTTAAAACGATTCTTAGAACTATGAAATTGTGTTTACCAAAAGGTACCCAGTAATTATGTGAAATAAGAAACTTAAATTAAAAAAGTACTAATTTATAAGTTTTTTCCAAACTAATGACAACACCAAATTTTAATTTTTGTATTCCTATTAAATTATATCCTTTGTTATTTGAAAAGGGATAATGTAGACAACTTTTTACTCATCACAGTCGATATTAATATGCAAGTCGACAATAAATATTGTAAAATAAAACCAGAGTAACTGAGAAGTCATAGATACATTTTTTTAATTCATCCTAATTGTCATTTTATAGAACTGCTTCCTTGTATTTAAATATTTTTTTGAAATTTATGATTTTTTGTTTGAAATTTCATAACTGAATTAACGAGCTCCTGTGAATACAACTAATTACTGGATAACATTGTATAATGGTTTTTCTTCTAACATACATAGACTCTAGTTTGTATTTGCTAGTACTAATATATTAATGAATTCTCAGCGTAGTGTAAATGTAAACCAGTGCAGAAATTGGTCACATGGTGCTAATTTTTATATAAATCTGATATAAGGAATGTTGCCGTACTATTAACAAATTGTTTTTTCCAAATACTAAGTAAGACTGTTCAATTTCAAAATAGGATGTTCTTGTGATCCGGTTAAACTTTTTTTTTATTATTTAAAAAATATCTGTATTTATGTATTAAAATTCTTAAAACTACTCGAGCTAAATTTTTATTTATTGAAATCATTATGTATTTTTTTTAATATTGTTTAATGCGTTTTTGAGGATAAATTGTTGGTTTAAATTTGGTTTAGTCGGACTCGCCGAAGCTTTCCCATAATGTTATTAATCCTATCTTTATTTCATGACTTTTAAGTAGTTATAACTTAGAAGATGAATTTTATTACACAATTGATGCCAAATTTTCAAATAAATCGTTCAAAATAGTTA